CTTACTGAGCGTGAGCAGTTCCCTATGGTTAAAGTTTAAAGTTTCGATGTGCCGATTTCTTGAGTTTCACAACATTTTTTTAGTCGAAATAGATTTCTTATTGTAGGACAAAAATCATTTTTAATTAATATTTGCTTACTTAATAGGAAAACTTGTTTTAAATTAGAAAAATTGAAATAAAAAAGAAAACTAAAAACAGATTTTGTTTTAAAAAGAAATTAAATTTTTTTACATTCCTCTTTGCCTATAAATGCTAACAAAAAAACACTGTAGAAAAAAAGAAAAAAAATTAAATAACAGTTCATAAACACTCAAAGTAAAACGGTCTCATGCTTGTGTCTGTCTAACTGTCTAAAAGGATTATCTGACAGTGGCCTACAATTGCCGTTACGCCAGCTGCAAGTTCGATTTTCAATAAATCCTTTTGATGAACAAGCACAGGAAAAAAGATGGCGAAAACCATGGAAAAAGAATATAAAGTAGAAGTAAATTGTTGTTGGCTAAGGATAAACTGCAGAAGAATCTCAATAAATAGAGAGGATATTACAGTGCAACATGCGACATACCACAATTGACATGACGAAAAGCCAACTATCTGCAACATCAGAAAGGATAATATATCAGGTTAATTAAAATGACAAACAAAATGATGAAAACGAAAGAAGAAAAAAGGAATATACTCGTATAATAAAATTGAAAAAAATGAAATGGGAATGAAATAAAAACTTTAAAAATGGATGCAAAAGACATTATGGGCTTAAGGGACTTTTTTTTTAATTAAAAAAAAATTTCGTTTAGCTTTTTAATGTGCTTAGAACATAAACATATTATGTTGAAGAGCACAGAAAAAAACAAGATTTATTAAAAGATGCAAAGGTAGGTCCTTTATGAAACATCAATTTATTAACATAAAAACTCCAATCTATGAAATGAAAAATTTCAGTTTGAGGAAGACGAAAAATATTGTAGATTGTAGAAGGAGTAAGTGACAAGTAAGAAGTACATTGATGATGCTTGAAAATATTAATTTGCACCTATCAGAAATTTGAATGTATGATATATAATTATTAAACAGGTTTTTTTTTGTACTATATATTTATCTATATACTTTACAATAAATATAGTTATAGATTAGTGATATACCAAAAACCAATACTTATCAGTTATCAATAAGCTTATGAATGAAAGAATTATAATAAAGAGTCGGAACGAAAAATTTTGGACATTTTGAAAACTCTTTTATGATTTACTGAGGTAATTTTTTTTTAAATTTTTCGTTCCAAATCTATATTATCTGACCAATAGCAAATGATATATTGCTTATAGAACAATAATAAATTTAAAAGTTTTATATATGTTATTAGTTGGGAACTCTGGACTCCAAATATCTAAGTTTTCATCTATAATCCAGCTTTCACTGGCGGTCAAACATCATAGAGTAGGATGTTGAACGTGGTTAAGTTTAAATTGCGTTCATAATGGACCCTCTAATTAGTATGAAAGATGATTGAACTGCATTAGAATACAATAAGAATATATGTACTAATCAACAGAATTAATTTTTCAAAAAAATAAAATCAAAGCAAATACTATACATTGTACTCTATGGAGAAGTCTAGTTCGGGTGATATACAACTTACAGCCTTTTATGTCTAAAGTGTTAATATAGCATAGAACCGCACAATATATTTGTGAAGGAAAGCGTGAGGTATCTAAATTACAATAAAGTAAGTAAGGTGTGTCTCTATATGATATGAATGGAATGACATATGACATACTTTTAAGTAAAAGTCCGCACTCAGTAAAATTCAATCACTTCAAAGAGTGAATTTCTGGTTGAAATTTTCTACACATTATATTCCGGTGATGAATCCAGCATATTTTTAAAATATATATTACTTTTACCAGGCTTAACTAAACACGCTCTCACTTTTCAAATGATTATTATTATAACCAGTTAGCATTTACTTTGCTATTACTTGTTCCATTACCAGGTAACTTAGTAAATATTTGAACCGAAATAACCCTTTCAGTTGTCCTTAATGGAAGCACAGCTTTTTGTTTGTGCTGCCTCACGTCCTTTAGTTGACCATTTATGTAAATAAATAATTTTCTTACTGGGTTCACATTTATGCATTCCGAGATATACGAGATATACGACTATCAACTGCATTCTGTAATGTTATACTAGTACGTTCTTTATTTTGTATGTGTATGTGTACATGTGTGCATGTGTATTTGTGTGTGTGTGTGTGTGTGTCACTGTACGTGTTTCTAGAATTTTTCATTTATTTTTGCTTCATTTCTCTTGCAACCGCCTCCGGTAGGAGGTTAAGAACCTTTTTGAACTTTAAAGTGTTTGTTTTGTATGAGGTGTTGACGTTTTTACTCTACTTGATTTTAATGTTGTATTTGTTTTTGCTCGTCTTTTCGTCATTGTTGTTGGCAATGCTGTTAATGTTGTTGCTGTTGCTGTTGCTGTTGTTGCCATCACTGTTGTTGTTGTTGTTGTTGTTGTTGTTGTTGTTGTTAATATATAAAATGTTCTTTACTTTCTTTGTGGCATGCAATTGCGGTCTTTAGTAGTGCGCGCCATCTTGTATAATTGTCAAGCTTTTCTTTTGTATTATCATGGTAGGCATTTGTGAGTATGCGCGTGTGTGTGTGTGTGTGTGTGTGCGTTATAGTGTGTGTGTTTGTTAGTGCAAGTGCGCTTATATACGGTAGTAAGTGTTTGCGTTTGCTTATTTTAAGTGTTTATACGTACGGGTATATGTTGATTTTTCTTTGCAATTTCACTTTAATTTCTACTATTTTTCTTATATAAATAAAAATATTATTTGTGCAACTGCTCAGCATAGTGATTTTTTTTATTTTTTTTTTTGTATTTCTTTTATGTTTTTTTTTTGGTTATGTAACTTTTATTTATTTGTATATTTTTCCACAATATTCGCATTTCCAACACTGCACTATGTGTGTTAATGACTGTTGAGTTGTTACTTTTCATTTTCACTCTGCATTGAATAGCAAGCAAACAGCAGCGGCAAGGATACTAAGATGCTTCATTTCGTTATTTATATTGGGTAAATTTAATTTCAAGGAAATTTTTAAAATTGTATTTACATGTTTTTAATAAGAAATACTTTGCAAGTGAAGAAAAAAGTGTTGGAGCTTACAAAAAATAACCCCAAAATGGCAAGTTAAATAAAGTTTGCCATTTTTTCTTCAAATAAATAGGTAAACACTTATCCTTGTAGTTGTGCTTTCTTCAGTTTGTAACTGGAGTTTCTCTCTACTTTTTTTCTATATATATTTATATACTATTTACTAATAAAAACCATAACAGAATCTCGTAGCATTTACCTCTGGTATGGCAGATTAAAATATAAAAATTTCATAGCATCGCTTTTGGCAATTGTCGTAAATGTTCGCGTTTTCCTAAACTCAAAATTACATATGAAATACTTTAATCCGATTTTTTTTTATTCTAGTTCCTTTTATAACTGAAATTTAAAAAATAAATGAAGTCAAATTGTTTCTTTTTTTAATCAAAAACTATTAAAAATATAATACAAAATAATTTTGTATTATTAAAAGCATTGGTTGCAGCTCATAAAAAAGTGGTATAAAATATAAAATTACGTGACGAAAAAATTCTTAGAGGTTTTTTGAACAGTAGTAAACTACAACAACAAAAATTCATTTTATATTATTTTAATTAATTGAATTTTTGGCTGAGTATTCGAGTATGAGTTTCGAGTATTGCCAAATACCCATCATCAGTGATCTTGGAAATAATTCTTGCATTTAATTATTCGTAAATAATTTTTTTGAGACTGCAGATATTCGTGCCCTGCTAAATTTGAATTTCAGAGTCAGCGCTTCTTAATCAACTGACCCAAAGCCGTACTTTACTTGTATGTATGCACATTTTTCTGCAGTATTGTGAAAGTTTTCTAATTTTTAATTGGTAAATTTTAAATACTATTTTGTTTGTAGAAGCTTTATTTGTTGCATAATTTATATATTCTTAATTATGTATAGAATCTAATCTAGGAGGGTAATACTGAGAAAGTCATGCTAATATTACACCACGAGTCGCACGGGCAAGAAAAATCTTTTTTAAGAATTAAAAAGAAAAATAAAAAAAATGTTTGAGAAAAACTCAAACAAATATATAATAGGTTGGATTAAAAGTTTGAAGTAATTAAGGTAAACTCAAAAAAATTGTGGAATAAATAGATAGATTCTGTCCATAGCGCATTTCCAACTTAAGCTGCGCTGACATTTCACTCTTTTATTATCAGAAAATTAAAAATGCTATTCAAACAAAAAAAATATATATATTTCATATAAAATCCATGAATTTCTAGAATTTTTATACAATACTTGTATGCCACAGCTTGTTTCGGCAACGTTGACTTTAAAGTAACAGTACCTACTGGAATACTAGTTATGTATAAAAAAAAAATAATAGTTTGAATATAACTGATCTAAATCTATTAATAATAACTCGTAAATTCATTGAGAGGTTAAAATTATTAAATTCCACAATTAATGATAATGTAAAACGCTTCGGTTTTATTTCAAAACTCGACAAATGGAGATCACAGTGAAATTTGTTTCTAATAAAAATATTCTTATAGCAAAAAATTATCAGCTGCGCTAATGTTATATAGAGTGTCTCAAACCCTTCCTTTATACTTAAACTTGTGCTATTTTACTATTTACTATGGAAATTAGACTATAAAATTCCATGTTTGAAATTGCCTGGTACTTAATTGGTTAAGAATTAGATGATCTTGAAACGAAAATCAGATAAGCTTAATAAACGCAATCATATTTAAAAAATAAGTTCTAGGTAGTAACTTTGTGGCGTTGTCGAAGAAAGAACGTCTCATCGTTGTATTCCGTAATAAATTTTTTAATTACAATTATGATTAAAAGTAGTAAAATAAAACAAATTTAATTGCAATAAACATTTTTATTAAAAACATGCATAAAATAAATTTTGTTTCAAAAAGTTTATGTAAAATTTTTTTATAAACATTAATTTTTTTTCCCATTGACCACCAATTCCAGAGACCCTAGTTCGTAAGAGAACAAAATCTAATGACGGTTTTGTAGTTTTGGTGTATGTGGAAAATTTCCATAAATTTTTCTCAAATTAAAATCTAAGAAATTCAAACTAAGACAAGAAAGGACAACACTGTTAAAAGATATATATTAGAAAATCATTCCATTGGTTTAAGCAATACAATTTCCAATATGTTACTTACAAACCACTTGAATGTTGTTTTCAGTTATTTAATAAAAAAAATTATTGTTCTGGTAATTTTGAACTTTCTCATATGGATCCCGGGTGAAAATCAGCGCGATTTAGTATTTTATAATTTTTCACGCGCTAGATTAATTTCAGTAGTACTCTTACTAATTCTAGACCCAGTATTCACTGGTATCGACATCATGCTGGGTATAGATTGCAGACTTTCGCTGGCAGTAAGACGAGCTGATGGAACAAACAATTTACGGGATTCAGTAGACAATTTGGAACAAATCAGTTTATGTTTAGCCAATTTTCCTATGTGGAAAACTTTGCTACAAAGTTCACAAATTTCCATTTTTACTGGGATTGGGGCGATTTACTATGAATAAAATAAATTTGTTTAAATACATATCAACAAATTATAATCATAATTAATTCAAAAAAAATTATTAAGGTACATTTAGTCAAAAATAATTTTCATTATATTATTTCATAAAAAGTAATATCATAAATATTGCAGGGAATCGTGAAAAAAAATATATACGAGTATTTCACCTTTTATTTTTTATGACTGCGGTTTAAACATTTGTACGATAAAGTGATCTAGATAAGATTGAATTACAAATAAATTAACATAATAAATATTGATTTATTTGGTTACCTTCTCATCAAAACGGGTGTAAACTCTAAATTTATGTATAACAAAATCTGTTAAAGAAAGTAATAAAAAGAATTAGACTTTAGTTCTTAAAGTAATTTTCGAAATATTTGAATTGAATATTGAATAATTTTAACTTTATTCTGGAAAAAATAAAATAAACTAAATCAAAATTTTTTACTTATAGTGAGAGAGTAATAAAAATTAACGACAGTGTTATTCATCTTCATCGTGTATTTGGGTGTACTAAAGTTTATGTGCATCTCAATTAAATAATAAATATAGTAATTGCTATTTGAACATTTTAAATTATATGTAAATAGAATTATATTTATATGGAACCATAAAATATGTCTTCAGTTAAAACCCATGCCTTATAAACCATTTCACTTACGATTAATAACAGTTGACACCTAATTACTCCAGATCGGTTTGGGTTTGGGTTGACAATTTAACAAAAAAAATATGTGGAAACATCAGCTGAAAAAAAATGTTTGATAAGATATATTCTAAAACATTCTTTGGACTAAAAATTTTGAATATTTGAAAGTTTCTTAATTTTTGCAAAATACTTTAAATAATTTAAATATTTGTCTACATTTTTGAAGTATATTTACTAACATACACGTAGAAGGCATTGCATTTACGGTTTCTGTTTTTATCGAATCAGATGTAGGGGGTCTTCTCAATATTTAGTTATTTTCCATACCCAAAATATGAAAACAAACTCTGTAAAATGTGAAATAAATGAAATTATTTATAACTAATAAAGTCAATAAAAAGGTAATAAATACAATAATTCATTAGTTCCTTAATAAGTCTTTATGTGACTATATCAGATATATACCTATTTTGACGTTACATAATTCTTGCACCTAACAATGAATCTATAGACTTAAAAGAATTTTATCTATGGACAGAATCTATCTACCTGTTGTTATCTATCTATATATAAGGTAGATATGTACCAAAAACAGATATATAATTTGTAGGTAATATGTGAATACTGCGATATCAACAGCCACATTTAATATTACTATTGGAGTCGATTTAGTAGTAGTAGAATTAGCCATAGCTATTAGTAAAAAGGGATTAGTGGATGCAAAAATTAATTTAATTTTTGATTAAAGATAAATTTTTTTTGACTGACAAGTGACTTGTTTTAATCTGAAATATGTTTTGATTTTCTTGTCATAAAAATAATTACTGAACGAAATATTTTTTTTTGTGAATTGCGACTAACATTATTTTGGCAACCATGGATACAGTTCGTCTAAACTATTACAATAATTTAATTAATATTGACATATGTTTTTGTGAATAGAAGCTAATTTAAAAAAAATTCTGATTGATAACTTTTTAATTGCAATATAAAATAAATTTAAATGGAAGCAAATTTTTTGCACATTTAAATAAAAAAATGTATTTTTACTTACAATTTACAAATGGGTTTTCTTCAAATCACTGATAACAATTTAAACAAAAACCGTTTAACAAATTTTAAAACAAATTTAGGACCAAAAATATTTGAAACATTCTATATAGGAAAAATATTATAACTGAAAATATTAATATTAGTTTCAAAGGTAAAATATTTTATTAATCAAAGAAAACTTGGTATTGTTTCTTGAGTTAGTGCTATTAAGCACTTTTATTCTTTTGTGGCTGGGGAGCTTATCCCTACCCCACACTAGGCTTTAACTATGCAGGAACTCACATCGTTTATTTATCTTTTATCTATTGATTACGGACATTAGGTCAGCATATCTTCCTCAAGGTCCTAAGGTGGACTTAAGGTTTGTTAGGGCGGGGTTGGACAGCGTATCAACTTTTGTGAATAATTTTATGCCTCTGTCCCTGATATATTTTTACACTGAGTCGATCCTTAAATCGCTGTGTGTAAGATACAATGTAATCTTAAATAGTCATCTTATATCTTATTGATTTTATGCTATCTGTAATTGCTTTATGGCAGTATTTGAGGTTATGCTAAACGTAACACATCCCTACTGTAGTGCTGACCAAATTATTTGAGTATATAGTAACTTTCCATTTTTGAGGTTGATGTGATTATTGTTAAAGAGCGGCTTTAGAAAATGTAGAATTTTAGAGCAGCTATTCCGTTTGCATTTCATATGTTTAGGTAATTATAGACGAATAAAAAATTTAATTATTTACATAAATAAAACCAATTTATTATAATATATTTTAAACTTTTAATTTTAGTTGATTTTAAAATTAAATGAAATTTTATATTTCTTTTCATATAAATATTGAAGATCATTATTATTATTTCAGCCTGAAAATATGTTTTGAAAGAAATAGTGCTGTATTAAAACCGATATAATCGGCAGTTAATTGAAAGTTAAGAAATTCAACTAAATTCATTAAAACTAAAATGTTTTAGCTCTAAAGTCACTAAAGTCTAAAGTCAAAAAAGATGTCAAAGTTTTTATCGCGTTTTTGAAAGACCATCACAGGCTAAACTACCAACTCAAAAAATAAACTTTTGAAGAATTTGACCTTTTGACACTTTTGTGTAATTATTATTGAACTCTTTGAATACATTTTTTGTGAGTGCTTAAAATTGTGTAAGAGCAAAGTTATCCATCTTGTAGGCGGAATTACTGGGCCTCACATTATATAGAATAATACTATGCTGTTAAAGAAGCGCACGTTAATTAAAGTACCCAGGATCAAAAAAATCTGTCTTTTATAAAAATCCAACAAAGATAGGTGCCGGTCGACAATATTTTTTTTCTTTATATCTGCAAGATACAAAGTTTCACAAAAAAATGAAATATTAATTAACTCAATGGGCTCAAATATTTGCAATCGTGAGTCGTTCACATTGTTTATTGTTATTTAAGTTAAAAATAATTCAATATTTAATTTTATGAAAACTGACTTCATTGCATCGAAAACACAATTCTTTATTCATTTCTCTTGTAAAAGTATGTGAAACATATGAAATAACAAAGTATTTTCCTGAAATTGGAAAAAAATTCATACGTTTTGCCTTCTTGGTCTTCACATAGGCGTAGGCAGGCAGCAGGGTAGGAGGTGGCACAGAGGAAACATTTGTGAAATTGAATAATTATTAGATTGAAGATTAATATCTATTATTCTGCGATTACTAGAAAACTGTCATTACATTAATATCGAAAATCATTATTTGAATGTTTAACTGGACGATCTATACAAATGCACTCCCTTGTCTTCACCATTCAGTAATCGCACATAAATGAAAACATTATTTATGGTAATGGCCCTCATCTCACTATGATATGTTATGTTATATCGAAGACAATTTTAGAGCGCTTCGTCACCGACATATGCCCCACTTGGTTACGCCCATGACACTTTACATATGCAAATTACTCTATATTTTTGTGTGTAGTTTTTGTTTATTTTCATATAATTTATTTTATGTTCATATATATATTTTTTCTCGCAATATTACTTTGTGTGTCGTAACAAAAATAGGTCAATTTGTTGCAAAGTGTCTTTTTCGTAGTTTTCCATGACATTCGAACATGGCAAAAAACAAAATTACTTCACCATCACCATTGATAAAATGTTCAATTTTTTTTATTATTTTATTTTTATTCATGGAATTCATTGTTGAAATCGTTTGCCTTCTCTATGTCTTACAGCATTTTTCAGTTTTGATAATAATTTTTTGTTATATTTTTTTGCTCAGTTTTCTCTGTGAGCCTATAAATTTGCATCTGCAGATATATCTACTACACTACAAATATCTGTACTCATATCTGTACTCGTATCTGTACTCATATCTGAAAGTGTGCAAATGCTTGTTTTTAAAAGTTTTCGTCCTGAATTGACATTTACACTTACAAGTATTTGTTTTGTTTCAGGACATTCGGACATGTAAGTTACATTATATCGGCATATCTTTTCATATTTATAACACAATTTAGTTCATTTTCGCTAAATTTCGTATATTTAGACGTTTTTCGGTATGTGGAGGGAAAAAACTCCTTACGGATTGTAGAGGCTTTCAAATGTTTTTTTTTTATTTTACTTGAAACTTCAAAGATTTATAAAATAAGTTGTACTTTTCCAAATGATATATGGTAAATGAAAAGTTATTTACTTATAGATTGCGCCTTTCCAAAATCACTACTAAAAAGAGTACTGAAGAAATAGGAGTATAATTTGATGCATGCAAAAAAGTACTAACAGCCAAATTTATGTGAAAAGTACTAAATACCATATTTTTATATTGTATTTTATATGTAATATAAAAAAAATATTAAATACCAATTTGTTTATCTAACACGATAATGCCGTGATCGCCTTATTCTCCTGATATGGCTGTTTCCCGAATAAAAAGAAACCCTTAAAGGACAATGTTTTTCAACACAAGATGAGCTTAACGCTAATGTTTATATGATCCAATGCTTAAGACCATATTTAATAAGGCGTGCAATACATATTAGCTTATTAGTTGTATATATATAATTATATAGTCACACTTCCCACATCAAATAGTTTAGCAAGAATAATACGGGGTGATAACAACGGTTAGTGAAACTTGCCTTACCTAGGGGCCATCATAGTGGGCAATAGATGTCTGTGCGTAGAGGTACATAGAAAACTGTTTTTCAAATGTTTAATATTCCATAACTCACATTAGTTCATTTAAAAATGCTTTATTATATCAGAATTGTACTTTGTAATATATAAAGCCGCGGTTACCATACTCGTATATCACAATCTTCTGTCCTGTGCGTCTTTCCGTCTCGTAGTTACACATTGATTGACACTAAATTTAACTTTATCGACTTCAGATTAGAATTATTCTAATTATGTTTAAAGATTTGTTATTGCTATTGTCTTGTGTTCTGTTGTGTTGTGTTGTGTTGTGTTGTGTTGGAATTGTGCTGTATAACTGCAACCACATAATTCAGTAGTAGGCAGTTTTGATAAACATTTCGGTCGATAGCCTGTGCAAGTATGTGAAGGTGTTAAGCATAAATTGAGTAAAGCAAATCATTGAGATCACAGTAACATAAACAGAATGTATAGGACCACACCAAACTGAAATGGACCACACATCCTAAGTGCAGTAACTTCATTATATATGAAGCATGAAATAATTTTATTTCAGCTGTGACATCTTTCCTCATACACACGCCCGATAGTAAATTTGGAAGTGAAATTTTGCTTATCCTTGGGCAATGATTTCAGTTTGCCTTTAGAGCCACTATCGGGAAGTTTACACTAGATGAACCATAAATTACACATAAATGAATTGTTAAATCGAAATTAATTTAATCAAATCTTAAATACATATTTATTAGTATTACGCTCTGTGTATCAAACAGTGCAGTTATTTAATTTATTACACAAATCATGAACTTCCAAATGCAATTAGAACTAACCAAAACAAACTTATAGTGTAATCTATTCTAACAGGTACAGAATATGAGGTTTATGTGGGCATATATAAATAATTATATTAAATCATTTACTGTGTATAATTTAAGTATGTGTAGAAGCACATACTTATATTATACACAGAATGTTAATATCATCAAAAGATTTGTGATTAATACAAATTTGACGCATTAGTAAAGAATGTTTATTATTCTCGTACTAAGTAGAATTACATATACTAAGTGTTGACATTAATTTTAATAGGTCGCTAATTATTATCTCAAAGTTTTTTTTTAGAAAAAGGTTTTCTTTTTTTCTTTTGGCTCTCTCTGTTTGATACTCTCTCTATTTCCATATCTCTTGTGTCTCTTTCTTTTTTTCTTTTGCCTCACTTTCTTGCCTCACTTTTTCTTGCCTCTTTTTCCCTTATTATTCTTTCTCTTACTCTTCTCATTCCTGTTTCCTTTTCATGCCCCTCTTTTTCTCGCCTCTCTTTCTCTTGCCCCTCTTTCTCATATCTCTATTATGTCCCTCTTTTGTATTCTGCTATATCTCTCCATTGTTTCACTATTACCATTTTCCTGTCTTTCTTTATTCTTTTCTTGTTTCGTTCCTTTCTCTCTCTCTCTCTCTTTCTTATCTCAATCTATATACTTCTTTTGTCTCGCTCTTGTGTCTTCTATCGTTCTCATTCTCATTGTCTGCTTCTTTTGTTCTTGGCTTGCGTCTGTCTGGTGTGTTTACACTTAGTGTTACGGTTCAGTTAGTTGGTACGTATCGTAATTACGTGTAGTTAAATGTAGTTAAGCTTTTATTCCCAACATTTGATAGCCCCCTGTGGGCGCGTGGCCGACAAGAGCGAATATGACTAAACCTAAGTAATTAACATGATGTTCGTAATAAAATGTTAACTTATTTTATTCTGTATTGTACAATTCTATATCCAAAATAGAATTGTAGTCTTATCTACTTAGTCTTAGAAACTTATTGTTAGTCTCATGCGTAAGAGAAGGTAAAATTAATGAATGAATGTGTAAATAAAAAAAAAGGACATCTACTGTAATGACAAATAAAATTGTGCATTTGTCAAGTTATAAAATTATTTATGCTTAAAAATGTATCACTTTTT